ATGTCAGGCTTGCAAATTAGGAGTAAACGAGTATATAATTTTATGTATTATACTTAGAATCTTAATAAAGTACTGGCAAAACTGCCTAAGTTAAAAAAAAAAAAAAAAAAAAAAATTATGTTTATATAGAATTTTTACTACTATAACTAATACTAAAACATATAAGAAAATGTTTATTTCATTTTTTAATTATATTGAAATATTAATATCTTAAAAATTTTAATTTTAATATATTCATAATACTAGTTTATATTGTATTGTTGTTGATTTAGATTTAGCTCAAGCAAAAGGTTTAGAAAAAGCTTTAAAAACAATTGATTTTTCAAAAAAAAGAAAAGAATATTTGGAATATATTATTAAATCATGTAAAGTTTATTTTCAAAAGTAAGTAAATTATTTATTAATTTTTATATATTATTTTAAAATTTTTTCTTTATTAATATATTTAATTAAATTTTTTATTTTAATAATACTAAGAAATATTCATAATAGTAATTATTCTGATAAAGCAAAAAGTTTAATAAATAAATTAATTAATCAAACTAATAAGGAAAATATTTAACATTTGTTTAAAGCTTTAGAAAAATTAAATGAACCAAAAATACAAGATAAATTCATTAATTATATAATTTTTAAAAATTACTAATTTTTAAATTAATTTAAAAATTTTAGATTGGATTTTATTTTATAAAACTTCTTGGATTTTAATATCATTAACACAAGCTTATACTAAAATGCCAACTAATCTATAGAATTCTACTTCATTTGATACCAATATTGCTAAATTTGCACGTACATCAATAAACAGAGAAGAAACAAAATTAAAACTTAGAGTAGCAAATTATAAAGTAAAAATTATTAATTTTTTATTTTAATTTAAAAAAAATTTACTAATTTTAAATTTTTTTAAAAAGGTTAGAATTTTGATTTGCTAGCTTATAAAAGAATTAGAATTCATAATAAATTTTTTATTTCTAAAACAAATAAAGATACTAGTATAACACAAAGAAAGTATAATACAAATAAATGCAAAGATAAGTTTATTATTAATATTTTTAATTATTAATTTAAATTATTAATTATATTAGTAAATTATTAATTTATTAAATTTTAATAATTAAGGCAAAAAAATTGTTAGTACTAAAAAACAAAAAGGTGTTCAAAGAACTGCACCTATTAAAAAAAGAGCAACAACAAAGGCTACTTTAAACAAAACTGAAGAAATATCATCAAATTATACTGAAAATTCAAATTTTAGATTTTTAAAAGAAGAAAGAGAATTTGTTTTAAAAGAGAAAGAAATAAAAATTTTTATTAAAGAAAAAGAGGCTGCACTTGAAATAAAAAAACAAGAATTATTAATAGCAATTGAAAAACAAAAATTAGAAAATGAAAGAGTTAGATTGGAATTACTTGCTAAAAAAATTAAATTAAAAAAAAAGCAAAAAAATTAGATTCTTAATTAATATTATTAAGAGATTTGCCAATAATTGCTTTTTTATTTTTTAAATAACAAAGATTATAATTTGTTTAATTTTTGTATTAATAAGAATTAGTAAAAAAAATAAATAAATTTAATAAAATTTATTTTTTTACTATTGTTTAAATTTATAAAATAATATACATAATATATATTATAGTAATTTTAAATATATAAATTAAATTTAATATAATTTTTTTTTTTTTTTTTTTTGGTATTAAGATAAGGTCTTGCTCATATCTTTATTAATTAATTTATATAAGTAGTTATATAGAAGCTATATAAAGACTTAATTTGTATAGATATAAATCATATACAAGAATAAGAGCTTAGACTAAAAGCTCAAACTAAAAGCTTAAACTAGTTATCTGTGACCTAAATCTACTAAAGTGATTAAAACTCATCTAGGTTTGAATTGTTAGGATATGGTTAATAGGTATATAGTATTTGGTCCACAGAGTAAACTATGTATTGAACTTGAGAGTAGCTTGTTTCAAGGAAGGGCAAGTATTAGATTCAGAGTGTAGTTGGTTAGCAAAGACACAGAGACAATTAAAAGAATGGTTGGTTTTGTTTCTTTTATTGGTTGGGTGAGATAGAAATTGGGGTAGTATGTAGTAGTTGAGGTAAAAGGAAATATTGTGAGATTTTTTTTATTAAGAAAAGTTAGTGCAATATAGAATCCAAATGTTGTTGTTGAGTTGGTTAGAAATTTTAAGTAGTAGTTGTATAATAAGTTGAAAAGCATTGGAGTATGAAATATCAAATGGGTTTAGTGATTAAATTAAAGGTTTAGATATAAGATCTTTGAGTATTGAATAGAGCAAAAATAGATATATTAGGTATAGTAGGAGGTTAAAAGCAGAATGTGAAGAAATGATATATATGAGATGGTGCAGTTAGAAAAAAAAAAGGTTAAGATTAAAGTTAGATAAAGTAGTCTAAATTGTAGAGTTAATTATTTGAATGAGAGGAGTATGTTGGGGCAAGTATACTAGTAAGAGGGTGAGTCAGGGTTGTTACAGGAGAAGCAGTTAGGTGATGTAAATACAAGAGGATATATTTTGTGAAAGTATGAATAAGTAGGTAGAATATTAAGTAATAGTTTAATTTTGAAAGCTTTAGCCATTCTTTATTGGTCTTAATAACATCCCCTTTCTTAACCATCTCGATTGCTGCTGCGCTATTGGTATATATTTTAATCTTTGCATTTATTGGGGTTATAAGTAGTGTTGCCCATATCGCTGCTAATTCCGCACGTGTTGATGAAGGCCATTGCTGAATACTAAGGCTGCCATCTTGCACTTTAAAGTTCTCATTCTCATCTACCTGTAGCCAACCTAGATCTTGCTTACATATGATTACCTCGCTCACCTTTTCTTTCGCAAGTGAACCATCTGTATAAAAGATAATAGCTTATTGCATGCTTTTATATTTTTTCCCAACTGTTCTAATAGAATCTTCTCACAATATTTACTTAATCTTTGTCTTTTAATTATATCTACTTCTAATCTATCTATCACTACTCTATTTGTCAGGCTTGCCTGGT